CATATAATTTAAGTATATTTTTAGTGTTTTCACTTTTAATAATTTTTTTAAGTAGTGTGTGATGTGTCTTAAAAATAGAATTGGTGTTAGCATATATCAGGTTTAAAAAATAGTATTCCTAACATTTGTATGGGACGCAGACCAGCACAGGATGGACGCCTAATGAATTCAGATGCATTATAAGATGACAAGAATCACATCCTCCCATTCCAAGACTACATTGTCTACTATCTAAATAGAAATTTCTTTAATGTTTATTATTTGGGATTCTCTGCTTTGGCAAAAGCAACTGTATTATTCAAAGGAACTAAGAACACTCTTTTAACACTTTACACTGGCAGCAAGTGGAAAATTACAATGAATTTGCAGAAGTTCATAATTGCCATTTTTATGTGAACCAAACAGCATTGCACAGTTGCAGGAAATTCCACCAGAGATTTTGCGTTTATCATATTTTATAGTGAAACAGGCAAGGAAAAGCTGTCTACTTCATACCACCCCACCCCCTGTCCTCAGGCAACCTCAAATCCAAACCTTCCCTAGACTAAGCCCTATTTTGAAAAAGCACATAGAAAATAGTAGATACTCTTCAGCTTTTCTCAGGGCTTATATCACCATCTAATAACTACTTCTAGGATCTGCAGATATACACACGTCTGCCTGCACATGATTTCAGTCTATTTTCTCCAGTTCATGAAACTACAAGTCACTTAAACCTTATTTGAAAGAGATCAGAGAAGATAGCTCTTAGTAAAACTGTTAATGTCATTCATATGTTGGGTATTCATAAAGTCATGTGTCCCAAAATTATATTTTTACTTTCCTGGGACAGATGTTGAAAACAGTTTAGAACTGGGAAAGCACTAGGTCATTTTTATTTTATTTTATTATTATTTTTTCTTTTTATAATTGAATATTTTGTGTATTTCATATAGAACAGCTCAAACAATCTTAATCATCTTTATACCCCTGTTCCCACTGGCTCTCTCCCTTAGCACCCCACCCACTGTAGCCCATAAACTCAGTCATCCTGGTTAAGACCCACTGGGTTGTGAGTGTCCCCAGCTGTTCCCAGTGCAAGTCCATCTGCTGAGTCTAGTCAGCCTATCTAGAGCTCCTTGTTTTAGGAAGATCAGCTCTTCTTCATCTAGCAGCAATCAGTTGCCAACATTCCTTTTTTATATTTACAGAAAAATATCCCAGTCACCACTCATCAAAGAAGCTCATTTTGCACCAGTCAGAGACTATTACCAAGTACCACAACTGGTCACACACGGACATTTTTATTTTAAACTAATCAGTAGCCTCTGTAATTGAGGGGAGAAGCTATATTGGACATTCAAGAAACATCCTGCTCCAGTTGGCCGTCTACCTCCTTTATTCTGTCCCCCTTTCCACTTTTAGAATGACCTTGCATAAAGGTCATATGAACTTGCATGAAAAGTAGCTTTTCCTTATTTATTTTATAGCCATTCCTTACTTGTATGCAAAACTAAACAGTCATATGAATATTAGAGATTGCAAATTGCAGTGGTTATATAGACTTAACATTTTCTGTAACTCCAATTGGTGTCTTAGAAGAATCAAGCCTTTTTGTGCTGAAGAGATGGCTCATCAGTTAAGAGCACTGGCTGCTCTTGGAAGGGAGCCAGGTTCAGTTCCCAGTATCCATATGGCAGTTAACTTCTGTTCTGGGGATCCCATGCCCTCTTCTGGCCCCCACAGGTGCTGCATACATGGATACTCTTGCATCTGTGCAGGCAAAACACTCATTCACATAAATAATTTTTTTTTAAAAAGGATTACCTGGGTGTAGTGGTACACGCCTTTAATCACAGCACTTCTGAAGCAGAGGCAGGCAGATCTCTGTGAGATTGAGACCAGCCTGCTCTATAGCGAGTTCCAGGCCAGCAGGGGCTACAGGGAGACTCTGTCTCAAAACAAAACCAACAGCAACAAAAAAATCAGGTCTGTTATAAAAACTATGGAGATGCCTTAAGGTGCAGCAGAAATTGGAGTAGTGGTGAAGCCAATAAATTATAAATCATATAGATGTATGTACATTCACTTTTACGGTCCATAAGATGGAACTTGCAGTTATAAACAGAGAAATCTGGTCCCTAAATTAAAGATACTATTCTAGTAAAGGTGTTGTATACTGATTTCCAGGAACTGTTTGGAAATTTGCCTGCATATCACTCTTAGCATGCAAAGGACCTTGGACAACTGTTGTTCTAATGCCCTGTCTTTGAGCAGGCATATAAACAAATAAACAAGGCAGCACAAATATTTACTGAACTTTTAAAAACCCCAGGCTCCCACAAATTCCTATAGCACATGCCAGGGTGGTTTTCTAGATGTTAACCTTTACTTTTATTTATGTATTTATGTTTGTAGTGGTGGTTATCAAACCCAGGGCCTTGCACATGATAGACAGGTACTCTATCTCTGAGCTAAACAGTAAGCGCATATATCCAAATTACTTTTTGGATGATTCTGCCTTGCTAAGTATTTCAGAAGCTTAAATTAAAAATAGCAAAGCAGAAGACTGGAGTGATGGCTCAGCAGTTAAGAGCACTCACTGTTCTTCCAGAGGACCTGGGTTTGGTTCCCAGTAACCCATACAGTGGCTAACCCATCTGTAACTCCAGTTCCAAGAAATCCAGTGCCCTCTCATGGCCTCCACAGGCATTGCATGCATGGGTGCACTTAACTGCAAGAAAAACACGCATATACACAATAAAATAAAAATAAATTTAATTTTTTTTAAAAAAAGCACAGCAAAGGTGGTCTGAGTGATTTTTATTTTTGTAAAGTTATGTTTTACAAGTAATATCTATATAAGACAAACAAATGCAGACTCAAATATATGCTAATAGAGTAGGCATTTGGAAAACTTTGAAACCTCTAAATAGTCTTGCTTAAAATAAGTTTTACATCTTTGACATTTAAATAACTCACAGGGAAGAAGGTCTTTGTGACTGTGTATTTCAAAATGTTAAATTGAGGAATTCAGCTTAAAAAATAAAGATGAGGAGGCTGGAGATACTCCTTTTGCAGAAGACCTGGGTACGATTCCCAGCAACCACATGGCAGCTAACAGCTGTCTGAAACTCCAAATTCAGGGGAATTTGACACCCTCTTCTGACCTCCATGGGTGTTGCACGAAATGATTGCACTTGCATACATGCAGGCAATACACTTATACACATTAAAAAAAATAATAAAAAATAAACATTTTTTAAATTAAAAATAAAGATGACACTGTATAAGTAGATACTGGTTTCTTTTAAATCCTTTGACTGAAGTATTTGGTAATCACAAACACAGCAGCGTAATACTATCAAAGACTATCTTGAATTTATACAAGAAAATGTATTGTACTTTAAAAGAAGAAAACACTGAAGCCCCAGAAAGTTTTACACAAAATAGAATTAGTTTGGGACTTCTAGATTTAAAAGATGTAAAAGGGATATTAGAAATACATTATCTGAAATGAGAATTAAAGAAAATAGGCCCTGAGAAAACACAAAGAAACTTTCCTGGAATGCCAAAGAATTATACATTTTCTTTACAGAAGGAATTGATCATTCCTTTAGTAGGATTTCTGACTTATATGTCATTAGAAGTAATTGTTTCATGTTTAAAGGTAATTTGCATTGTGCTTTCCTGTTCTCTGTATGTTACTTGACAATATTATTCTCAGTAGTTGTATAATAAGTAAACTACTCCCAGCCTAACATTTTCTTAATTAGTATATTGCTGTATAGGTGATGACTGAACTGCATTTAGGCTATATGGCTGAAATAATAATGACTGGCACTAAAAATATTGTTTCTGAGATGACTTCCCAAATGTTGTGGAAATGAATTGACAGTAGACTGATTCATAAAAGAGACAATAAACTAATCTTAACATGTATTTTAGGCGAATCATAGAATTGGAATTGCTCAACCATTTGAATGGGATCCAGCTATCTATAAACCCTTAATTTTAGTATTCATTCATTCACTCATTCACTTCATTCATTCATTCATTCATTCATTCATTCATTCATTCATTCATTCATTCATTAATAGGAGACAGCATCCTACTATGTAGCTGTATCTTGCCTGGAACTCATTAGGTAGACCAGGCTGCCATCAAACTCATGACAATCCTCTTCGCTCTGTTTGAGTCCTGAAAAACAGGTGTGAACCATTACACTGGGCCTATAAGCTCTTATTTATACAGGGGAAGAAGAGATAAAAAATATCACACTTTGAGTGAGGAATAACAAATGTGTTTAGGTGAATGAGTGAGTATAGCGCTTAAACAGTAAATGATTGTCTTTTGGAATTGAATGGTCCTGCTTAGGAGAAAGACAAAGTATATGGCAAGTTTTGTCCAGGTATAGTTTTCTCAATTTTCTTTACTTAAGATAATAAGTTTATCTTTAAAAAACAAACAAAAAACAAACAACCCTAGGGGAAGGGACTAAAGTATCAAAGTAAATAGTCCTATAGTATCCACTTCTCTCTAAGGACCTTTAATTTAAAATAAGCATCATACAGTAGTGCCATGTTTTGAAGTGAATTTCTCTAAATTCCTTCAGATGTTTTTTAAAATTATTTTAGAATTCTGTTGGCCTTGGACCAGTTGGTTCAAGCAACTGTTATAATAAATCAGCAACTAGGATATTTCTGTTCTTTTTCTTGAAAAGGTTTTTGCCTGTCCCTGCTACCTTGTCATCTCAGAATTCTAAGCTTGAAAAAGACACAGATTGGAATCAGTGGGCCTTTAAAAAAGCTAAAAATACATAAATAAAAAATTTTAAAAGGACAGATAATAATGGAAGACATAAAATTGGGAGGGGTTTGTGGAGAGAGGGTGGAGGAGAGGGATCTGAATATGTTCAAATACATTGTATGAAATTCTCGACTCAATTAAAAAATAAAAATAAAAAAGAATGGAGAAATGCGATGTCAAGCTGACCTGAATTCTTTCTCTTTCTTGGTCAGTGTGCTAGAGAAGAGAATCGAGTTGGTACACGCACAGTGTTTGTTGGAAATCATCCAGTTTCAAGAACAGAAGCTCATGTTGCACAAAGATTTTGTGATAATAGAATAGTCTCATCTAAGGTGAGTTGAGTGTTTGCTTTTTTTTAACTCGCTGGATGTTCGTGTAGAGTTAGATATTTATGCTTCTAAGGAAGCTGTACATTTATATATGTATACATAATTATATACTTATGAAAATCATATACCAACTATGGTAATTATTTCCCTGAAAGGCAGTTTACTTTTTTAAAAGCCCATCATTTTGCCTGGTTACAGCTTAAAGTTCATTCATTTGCCTTCCATTATGATTCACAGTGCCTGTTGGTTATCCATAATACTTTAAGCCTTAAAATGTGCTAAAAGTAGCGATTATTGGACTGAGCAGGGGTGTTACACAGTGGTAGAACATTTGCCAACATTTGGCAGGTTCATGGGGGTTTAGTAATTATTTACTTGTGTAAAGCTTCCTGAATTGCCCTTGAGAGACTGGGTTAGGCTGTACATGATTTTCATCCTTCCTTGCATGACTTTTACTTGCACCTCTTCCCTGCCCTATCTTCCTTCTGAGTTACATTCCTGGGTCTCAAAAGAGGAAATTTGCCTGTATACTGCTTGGCTTATGACTAATAGAGTTGAAGAACCGTAACTATGTTACTATTTGAATAATGATCTTATTTCAGTGTGGTGGAATGCTCCAAGAACAAGCTAACATGTTTGAATACCTGCATTTGAATTTTGGCTGAACTGTTTACTTGCTGTATCACCTTTGTCAAATTTAAAATTACGGTTTGTGAAATGGCTAATACTCCACATATGAAACACTTCTTATGTCTCCTGGTATCTATAGCCGTCACTTTAATAGTACTGATATACTAACAGTTACTGCTGGCTGACGAGGCAAGGTGCTAGGTCGTTAAGTGCCATCTCTTGGAGCATGCAATGTGTTGTGATACTATTCACTTCCAAATGCAACCTGGCAAGGCAAAGCTAAAATGTTGGTGACATTTGGTTCAGTGCACATTTAAGACCTGAAATACCAAATCATGCCCTTCCTAAATAAGCCAGGCCCAGACAAACAGAAACTAAAACAGACTGACCTGAATGAATATTGATGATAAGTAGATGTTGAGAATGATCTGTCTGTGTATATTTTCTGTTTGTGTGTGTTGGGAATGGAAAGAATGAGTAAAAGGAAGATTGTATTTCATCAGTGCACATTGTAGGCATATGTAGAAATATACTGAAACCTATTTATATGTAAAATTAATACATGTTAATAAAAATAATTTAAAAATCCACACGTTGATTTTCAGATGTTCTTTTTTCTTCTTCGTAAGGTAATGATACACTAGAGATTATGTTTAAAGATTAACGTAAAATATAGACAGAAACAGGTGCATAGTGAGTGAGACCTTGTCTCAAAAAAGCAACAAAAGAGGTATATGTGATATAGAAATGTGAGGGGCTGGAGAGATGGCTCAGTGGTTAAGAGCACTGGCTTTCCTTATAGAGGACCCAGGTTTGGTTCTCAGGATGCACATGGTGGTTCAGAACTGTGACTCCAGTTCCAGGGGATCTGAGGTCTTCTTCTGACCTCTGCACTCATCGCATGCAACATGCAGGCAAAGCAATCAGTGCTACATGTAAAATAAAAATTTAAGATTGATTGATGTGAAAACTGAGCTGCCTACTGAAGCGATCTATATGTCTATAGAACACTAATATCAAATAAAATATTCATTTGCTTTTAATATGATAGAAATTTTATCTTTAGGAAGAAGTTTATATATTTGTGCTCAGGAAAGTGAGTAGCCCTTTCACTAGATATTTTTACTTACCCTGTAGTATCCAAGTAAATAATCAATTGTAGACCTTTGACTCAGAATCATAGACACATGGAAGTAAAAGATCCTAAGAAGTCATATAGTTCAATTTGTTGATTTACAGATGGAGAAACTCAATCCAGAGAAATTAAGTACCTGACCTGATAAGCAAGCACGTAGTGATAAAGCTAGGAATAGAACCACTGTACAAGGCCCAGTGACTCTGAAGAAAAAGCCCTTTTCACATTACACTATTTGGGTGCCTAATTTTTTTTCCTCCTCTTCAGCATCAAAGTAGAATATATAATATTTTATAGATAATTATAGTTTTATAATGTCTTAATGGAAGATGGCAAAACGAGATACTGATGTTGACTTTTCATTAATGAGAATGATTTTGTTGCAATATACCTGTCACTCACTTTCATTCTCAATCCTTATATATGGAAGAGACTACTTTTTCACATTTTTTGTAGATTTCATTTTGCCAGCAGTTAAAACAATGCAATAGCATGCTTTCTTTTAAAATTATGTAATGGTTTAGAATGAAATCTTGAATGCAGTAGCTTTCATATAATGAATAATGATGTACAGTATAATGATGAAGTGTTTCATGGTGGGGGAGGGGCAGAAGACCACACCAGGAAGTTTAAGTTATTTGATTTCCATCTCATTTTTCTTATCTTTATTATAATCTTTAAAAATAGGCATATTGATAGTGTTCATTCTATGAGATTGTAGTGAGGATAAAATGAAATGATACACATAAAGCATTTAGCACTATGTTTTGCATGTATTGATAACCTAGTAAGTGTTATCTGCTATTTTGTGTTTCTGTTATTCCTGTTGCCTTACTATTGATTTTTCTTAGACTCAGTGTTGTTTGAGTGTACACGGGGGTAATTTTTTTTTTTTTTTGGTCTTTTTGAGACAGGATCTCCCTGTAGCCCCAGCTGTCCTGGAACTCACTATATAGACCAGGCTGGCCTTGAACTCACAGGGATCCGCCTGCCTCTGCCTCCTGAGTGCTGGGATTAAAGGCGTGTGCCACCACGCCCAGTGTACAGGGGTAATTTTTAAAAGAAGGCCTTCAGCATGTTGGCACACGCCTATAATCAGCACTGGGGAGGCAGAGGCGGGTGGATCTCTGTGAGACCCTTTCTCAAAAAGACCAAAAATAATAAAGAACATAACAATTTTTTGTATGGATCTTTTCTTCCTCACATTTTCTTTTGGTTCCATATATTTGTACCACACTCTTAATTGAAGAAATACAATTTATAAAATAAGCTAGCTGTCTTCCAACTTTGTAGCAAGTGTTGATTTCCTTTCTCTATTTTCAGTCATAAAAGTAACTCTTCTTAAATTGGATGCTTTTTCTTTACAAATAACCACCAGTAATGTCACTGTTACAGGGAATGGATGTGTTTAATCCAGGGAACATTGAAGACAAACACTTTGACCTACATTAAGTTTTATTTACTTTTAAATTAGTGTGCCTTTTTCTCTTGAGAACACAAATACTTCTTTAGAAAAAAAAAAGTCCTTTGAGGCCCTACTACTTTAAAGTAGGGACTTTTGGTTGTCACCAGGATTTTATAGCTGGCATATAACATGGAAACTAACTTCCTTACCAAAATGGACATTAATTGCACCATGTGTAGAGTTTGTAGAATCTTTAGCTTCCATAGTGTTTATTACTTTTCAAATATTTTTCCCTTTTGCTTGCATGTATGTAAGTGTACCTTGTGCATGTGATGTCCATGGATGCCAAAAGAGGGTTTTGGGTCCCATGGAACTGGAGTTAAGGACAGTTGTTCACTGCCACGTGGGTGCTGGGAACTGAATCAGGTCCTTTTCAAGAACAGCAGGTGCTCTTAACTACTGAGACATCTAACGAGCCTCCACTAAGATTTTGGATTTCCAGTCACTATATTAAAGGATAAATTCTCGTGATGTGCAAATGATTGGAATGAAGGTTTCTCAAGTATAAATTTAACCTTTTACCAGAAAAGCAGTTCTTTCATACTGGTTTTCATCCGTCTTTATTAAGATGTTATTAAGATCCATTGATTTTTAAATAGCCCAGCCCTTGAGGTTAAGATATTAGTAAGATAGTACACGTGTAAATACCCAGGTTGTGTGTATACCTTTTCATCTGTATGCACATTCTCACCTGTAATGAAGATAGGAGGTATTGATACAGACAGAATTTTATCTCTGACAATGAGCTGGACTCCAGAGGTTAGCCCAGGGCAGGGGAATTAATTTGCTCATTTGTTCATCCAAATCATTCTTGTCGAATTTGTACCAGGCAATGTGCTAGGTGTTAGGGAAAAAGGTATTAGGGAAGATGGATGGGCAGCTTACCTTTAGAAGCATCAAAGCGTGGGACTAAAGTGGCTATTGCAGTTCTCTGCAGTTCTCAGAGTGGAATTTCATTTCTGAAAAAAAAATTCTACACCTCTAATTATGTACTTATGTGTATGTTTGAGTTTCCAAGTGTTGGATATACTGAATACACGTGTATGATAATCTGGACATATAGCAATTATTACTATTAAAATTTTCAAATTTCCTTTCCAATAATACTTTCTGTTTTACGTCTTTTATAGTATACCCTTTGGAACTTCCTCCCAAAGAATTTATTTGAACAGTTTAGAAGAATTGCAAATTTCTATTTTCTCATCATTTTCCTTGTTCAGGTAAGAACTATCCTTTTCCTTGTTCAGGTAAGAACTCCATAAACAGCCAGTTCAAACTGAAGAAATTTGGCAATTTGTTATGTTTTTTTTTTTCTTTTTTTCTTTATTTTTATTTTATGTGTGTGAATATTATGCCTACATGTATATAAGTGCGCCCTTGTTGTGCACTGCCCATGGAGGACATACGAGGGCATCGGATCCCCTGGAATTGGAGTTATGGACAGTTGTTAACTGCCATTTGGGAGCTGGGATTCGAACCCGGGTCTTCTGCAAGCACAGTCAGTGCTGTTAACCACTGAGCCATCTCTCTAGTCCTGCAATTTGTTATCTTAAATTGGTCTGCGATTTAAAAGTATTTGATTATTATGGCTTTTTAAAGTAGAAATAATATATTTCAAGATTTGTAGGAGCTGGAGAGATGGCTCAGCTGTTAAAAGCACTGACTCTTGCAGAGTACCCGGGTTTGATTCCCAGCACCCACATGGTGGCTAACAACCATCTGTAATTCCAGTTCCAAGGGATCTGATGCTTTCTTCTGACCTCAGTGGGCATCGCATGACACCGGTACACTTACACATGTGCAGGCAATACATTCATACACATAAAATAAAAATAATAAAATTTTAAAAAGATTTGTACAGCTTTATATATTTCTAAAGTTGTATTTTTATTAGAAAACTTTTGGAAATTTTATTTTGTTACCATAAGTTTTCATTGATTTCATAACTTTGTGCATCTTAGGGTGTATATTGTATAACCATTTAATGACTTGGCATATATCAAAATTGTAAACAGTTCAAACTAACAGTTTTATTTTTTTTTCAACACCAGTTTTAACATAGTTGATTGCTTATCAGTTTTTATCCTGGAACAATTTCTCTTTGCCTTATACACTTACTCCTTTGAGGTATGAAAGCCTGCTGTGTCAGTCTGCTTCTTGGTGTTCTTTCTAGTCTTTGGTGTTTTAAATTTTAGTCAGTTTAAATCATGTTTTCCATCTTTAAGTGTATAAACAGTTCCAACCTTTCCTTCACTATAATTATTCCCCCCAAACTTTACAGTTTTAGTGGTACCCTCCCATCTGTTCCTTTAAGTGAAGCAGAAAAACTCCAGGGAAATTACTTAAATGCTTTGTTTGAGTGCTTTTGTTTATCCACTTTGAGACTGACTAAATGTCACAATAATTTAATTTAGGCCTAATCCTTAAACCCAGTCTGGGATAGAATAAAGGAAAGAGATAACGATAAAACATTTGGAAAGGAACTTCTTTAGATCTATGGTCAGTTGTCTTAGAAACATTCTGCTTCCAAGAGTCACCCTATTTGTTAGTATATTTCAGTTCAATTAAGCAAATATATGGCAACTACCTGCTGTGTATCGTGCCGTAGTATCCCATACAAAAGTGCTGGTACGTACTTACAATGATGATCAAGAGACAGCTTTCTTTCTGCCCTTAAGGAACCAATGATGATGCTGTAGAGAGGTGTGTGCTCACGTAGTTCAGTAAAAGTCATTTAAGTAGAATAAGCAAGATGCTGAGGGTCTATAGTAGAAGTTATGATTACTTTTAACTCAAGAAGACCTTGAAAAGGCTTCAATAAGTACCTAATGTCTGAACTGATCTTTGAAAGTTGAGATGTAGCTTGCCTGGTATGGAGTGCTAGGCCAGCATCTCAGGGTTAGGAAGAGGTTGTGTAAAGGCATGGAGCCATGTAAAAATCTAATATGTACACTTTCATGTGTCAGGGTAAGGCCTGACTGGGGATTGTAGATGAAAGTCATGGAGATATAAGGGCAGATTGATGTCATAATCCCCCTCCCTCAAGTCTAGTTTTCTTTCAATCTTTTCTTTTTCAGTGAGTAACAACATCCACCCAGGCATGCTAACCAGACACTCTCAAGCCATATTTAATCAATATTTACATCTCATTACTTACCAGTCCTTCCATTTTTGCTTCCTGAATCTCTTCAACACTTCTTTCCAAATCTGTTGCTTCTACCATAAGGTAAACCATCATCTTTGGATTAGAGCGTTAGTCTCCTACTGCTTCCACTCTTACTCTCCAAATCCATCTTTCACAATACATTGAGAATTATCTTTTCAGTGTGTAATTGTACTTGTATTACCTCTTGCTGCCTAAAATCTTGAAAATTTTCCCACTGTGGAATGAAGAATCAATAGCTTTCTCTGAACTATAGGGCCCTGCACAGTTTGACTGTTTGTTGTCTCTTCAGCCCTCTCATATACCACACTGTCTTGATACTTGCTTCTTTATTTCTTTTCACACATCCAATTTTCCCTCCTAACATAGAGAATCTGTATATACTGTTCACTCTACCTGGAAAAGCTCTTAACTGGTTAACTCCTAATTATCCCTTAGCTCTCAGCATGTACATGCCTGTGGGTTTCTTTTTTTAATTTGTTTTATTTTATTTTTATGTGTATGAGTGTTTTGCCTGCATGTGTGTAAATGCACCCATATGGAGGCCAGGAAAGGTGTAGGAGCCCCTAGAACTGGAGTTATGGATGATTGTTAGCTGCCAGTGAGTGCTAGGAACTGAACCTAGGCCCTCTGCAAGAGCAGCCAGTGCTCACTGAGTCATTTCTCCAGCCCCTGCACACCTGTTTTATTGTCTTATTTTCCTGGTAAACTTCTAGCTATATGAAGATTATCTCCATCTTGTTTAAGTAGGATTTCTAGAGGCAGGACGGTAACGGCACAGGAACTGACAGAATGGTGCTCAACAACTAGGGGGTAAATTAATGTGTATATCTTATAAAGGTAATTGTCTAAGCTGGGGTGAAAACTAACCCTGAATTTTCTTAAACTGCTATGTAGATTGTTTTTGTTGTAATGAAAATTGGCATTCACCCTATTACTAGAATGTATTTTGCCTCAAATATTTCCAACATGTAAGTGTTGTATATGAATTAATGACTAGTTTTTATTATATTTTCAATATAATTTCTTTACCTAGGTCACAGTAGACACACCGACTAGCCCAGTTACCAGTGGACTTCCACTTTTTTTTGTTATAACTGTTACAGCAATTAAGCAGGTAAATTTCTTATTTAAACTTACGTCTGCCTTTTAATCCAGACTAGTTAGAATTTTGTTGTAAATGTTTTATTTCATATTTATATTCTGTGGACAGTAACTTTGACTTGGTTTATATTTTATTCCCATTGAATACTTATTACAATGATAGGAACATCACATCTTTAATTTATTTACTCTTCTGCTTTTCAATATCTTTGTGTGTATTATAAACATAATAGAAAGGATAAATAAAAGGTTCAGCTCAATAGGGAAATGGGAGGGGGCAATTTTATTGTGAATTAATTATTCTAGTGTGAAATGTCTACAAAACATTTCCCATGTCACTTTTTGTTGTTGTTGTTGTTGTTATTGTCTATGGCATTAGAACTCAAGCACAGATACTTGAATTTTGTTATCCCTGATACTGTTGAAGGAGTTGGTAGGTTAGAGGTGACTTTTATCTCTCTACTACTTGTCAGAGCTGCTAAACTGTCACAGATTATGATATGAATGTCTTTAAAGTATTTTGTATGCTAGTATCTTTGACAATGTCCAAACAAAATTGAAAATTTAAACAGGAAACTTGAAGCGAGGAGTGAGTTAACTGTATTGGGACAGTCCACATGATCTGCTTATGTGCAAACACATTTTTATATAGTACCAATCAAAGAGCTCCCTGAAAATATGGAAGCTTGCAGATTTAAAGGTTTGATTAACAGTATTAGGAACAAGGTTATCTTTCCTCTTGGAGTAATCTGTTAGTCTCTTTTGTTTTCCAGGAACTTTTCAAGTATTTTATCAAGTTTTTAATTGCTAAATACTTTCAGAATGTTCTTTCCCTTTGGTTATTAGGATAATTTTCTTTAATACCACAAAAATTCTAGTTCCAAGAATAGTATGAATGGGTTTCAGAAGGTTTTACTGATTCATTCTACTCCCAGTACTAGTTCATGTTAAGTCCTTCCTTTCTTCATCAGAATTGCAAAATGTACCCTATGACATAATAGCCAGCATTGTCATAAAGAGGGACAGAGTAGGAATGAATATAGCACCTGATGAGGAAAAAAGGGGCGAGAGAGATCAAGATTTTTTTTCAGACAGATGTATTTGAAAAGGTACAAATATTATTGCAATGAAAAAAAATTAAAAACCAAAGAAACATAGAAAGGAGGTTGTACTCAAACAAATGAATATCCTATTTCCTTAGTTCTTTTAGGGTAAATCTAGTTCATATGAAAAGCCCAAAGGAAAATGAACAATTAGCTCTTCTTTCTCAGATTATTTTTTTTAATTTTCTTTAATCATTAAGTTAGTGGAAATTTTTCGTTATTTCTACAATATATAAATTCACTGGCAAAACAGTCTTAACTTGTTTTTCCTATATTCTGCATGGAAGGAATTATTTTGTTTCTTGAGTGATTTAAGTCTATCAGAAAATAAAAATGCAATTTTTCAAATTAAAAGTTAAAAGGTACCATTAAATTAAACAAATAATAGAACTATAAGAATAAATCATAGGTTTTCTTTTTGACAAGGTCTCCCAGTAACCACAGCTGGCCTAGAACTCACTTTGTAGACCATGCTGGCCTCCAACTCACAGAGATCTGCCTGCCTCTGCTGGGATTAAAAGCATGTGCCACCCCGCCCAGCAAGAATAAATCATAGGGGTTTGTTGTTGTTGTTGTTGTTTGTTTGTTTGTTTTTTTGGTCTTTTTGAGCCAGGGTCTCCTTGTAGCTCCAGCTGCCTGGAACTCACTCTGTAGACCAGGCTGGCCTTGAACTCACAGAGATCCGCCTGCCTCTGCCTCCCGAGTGCTGGGATTAAAGGCATGCGCCACCGTGCCTGGCTAAATCATAGTTTTTTAAAATTGATGCCTATTTTCCTTAATATATATCTCAATAAGTAACGAATCCTTTAATACAATAAAGCTATTTACCTAAAATTTATTTTTTAGCATGCCTCAAATTTTCTATTATTAAAATGTGCATCATTGTCTCTGTAGCATTCAGAGTTGAAATTAGCATTATAAAATTATAAATATCTACCATTGTTTCATGAAGGTATAGAGATTTATTAATACCTTTTCATCATCTATGTTTGATTATATAATTATTATCTTTATAGGGATATGAAGATTGGCTTAGACACAGAGCCGATAATGAAGTTAACAAGAGCACTGTATATATTATTGAAAATGCAAAACGAGTGAGAAAAGAAAGTGAAAAAATCAAGGTACTGGTTTTTTAGATCGCCTTTTAAAACTGTGCGTCGGTGTGTGCAATGTGCGTGCGCACAGATAGGTATACATCCTCTATTGAACATATGTGGAGGTCAGAGAAGAGCTTTCAGGGATTGGTTTCCTCCTTCCATCAGGGTTCTGGGGATCAAACTTAGGTCATCAGGCTTGCAGAGCAAGTACACTTTTGCTCACTTAAGCCATCTCACTGGCCCTCACTTTTTTATTGTGGTAAAAATGTATACTTCAGACTGTACAAATCAACATCATTTAGTACATTCCCTGTGTCTACAACCTGCACTATTTTCATCACCCAAAAAGAAAAGTTCATACCCATTCTACTCCTCCCCAATTCCTGTCAACACTAACCTTATTTCTTTCTCGATGAATTTATAGGCTTAATATTTCATATGAGTGGAATCATATACTGCATGAATTTTTGTGTCTGACTTCTTTCACTCAGGGTACTTTTATATTTCATCTATGTTTTAGCATGTATCAATAATTCATTCCTTTTGATAGCTGGAGAGTATTCTATGGGTGTATCACATTTTGTTTATTCAGTAGCTAATATGTATTTGGGTTGTTTCTATTGGGGACTGCCATGACCATTCAAGTATAAGATTTTATTTGAACATCTGCTTTCAGTTATTTGGGGTACATGCCTATGTTAAGAATTGCTAGAATTTGGTGGTGGGGGGGTCTGGATAAATGGATCAGCAATTAAGAGTACTGGCTATTCTTGACGAAGACCCAGGTTCAAATCTCAGCACCCACATGGCAGCTAACAGCCATCAGCATATCCAGTTCCAGGGCATCCGATGGCCTCTTCTGTCCTCTGAAGTCACTGCAGGACACAGGTGTACTTTTATACATGCAGGCATAACACTCATGCACATAAAATAAGAAAAATAAATTATAAAAAAGAATTGCTATGTTTATGGTAATTCATGGTTAATTTGTTTTTTTTTCATTTTTATTGAATTTTTGAGAATTGCGTGCATTATATTTTGATTGTATTTAGACCCCCCTCCTACCTGCACCCCCTCCTCAATATGCACTGTTCAATTTCATATATACACATATATATGGCCTGTTGAGTCAAACTTGTGTTCCCAAGTGCCCTTAGGTGTGGGTCCATCCACTGGAGCCTGGTCAAGGTATCCAGAGTCACACCCTTAAAGAAAACTGGCTCTCCCTCTTTCAGCAACATTGTTAATGTTTTAATGACCTCTACAAAACATTTTTCCACAGAGGCTTTGCTGTTTACATATTAAGTAATTTACTTTTTAGAACAGATATAGGTTCAAAATAAAATTTACCAAGTACTCTTTCCTAGAATCAATATCAGTAAGCCTCCCTTGGCACCTACTCAAAGTTTAGCTGACAGTATTGTTCAGCCTTAGTGCAGTGCATTCTATGGGGTTTGACAAATATAGGACATGTTTTAATTTAATTTAACATTGTAATATTCTATAGGATAATTTCATTGCTCTAAAAGTCTTCTGTTTTGCTTCTTTATTCCTCATTCCTCCTTAATCCCTGCAGCCACTGCTTCTTTTACTACTGCACAGTTTTGCCTTTTCCAGAGTATTACATTGTTGAAGCCACATAGTATACAGCTTTTTTAGACTGACTTACTGGTTTTGGAAGGGGTGGGGTTAGACAGGGTCTCACTATGTAGACTGGCTAACGTGGAACTTGCTGTGTAGACAGGCTGGCACAGAGATCCACCTGCCTCTGCCTCTGCCTTCTAGGTTAACTTAGTATGCATTTAAGTTTATTCCATGCCTTTTCATGGCTTGATAGCTCATTTCTTTCTAGTGATGAATAATATTACCTCTTCTGAATATACCACGGTTTACTTGTATACCTATCCCCCCTGGAGGGACAACATTTTACTGCTTCCAAGTTCTGGCAATTATGAGTAAAGTTTCTACAATCATTTATGTATAGGTTTCATGTGAACAAAAATTTTCACTTCATTTGCTCTAATATCTTCATATTGAGATCAATAGGGTCTGGGTTCTGAAGTGGGTCTGTCTCTTCCTCAGTCAGACTTTCAGTATTTGGGATTGGGTCAGTCTAGTCAGGAGTTACACTGACTTTGCTTTTGCTTTTTAATTACTGATAATTTTAGTGCACCACTGGATTTCAAACTCTTTGAAAGGCTGATTGCAGTTACCCTAAGCTTTGTGTGGAACCTGCCGTGCTGGAGTATTTTTCTCTGTGTTCCTGTTCCACAATCCTCTTTTAACATATGCCTGACTCAGTGGATACCACTTTCTGGTTCCTTTCTTCTCTCTCACTGGCACACTACTGTTTTTTGTTTGTTATTCAGTATGAAGCACCTGATAGGAACAGAGTAATTTATTGGTTCTTCTCTAACAGTCTCAATATTAAGCAAGCCCTATGCATCTGAGCCATAGGATGCTAGTTTTCTAGTATTCCTGTCTCATCTCATGCAGCAGGTTGCTTTTTCTTCTACCTCTCCTCTGCCTTTGTTCTAGATGTAGGTGGACCTTTTGCTTCCTGTGCAGGAGGGATCCATAATGTTGACATGTCTTGTGCTTATCTCTCCTCAGCAGTTGAGAATGGTTCTTTTAGGTCTCCTGCCCTTATGCTTTTTCATAAATATCTGTGGGAACCTTTGGAGAAGTGGTGAGGAATGGTCCACTCTGAACTCTAAAGCTTATAGAGATTCTAAGCTGTTATGTTGGTTTATACCAAGCCTCTAAGAATTAAGGGGCCAGTGAGATGACTCTGGGTCAAGGCTCCTGTCACCAAGCTTGACTACCTGAGCTCAATCCCTAGGATCCACATGGTGGGAAAAAACTCCTGGAAGTTGTCTGCTGGCCTACATTCACTCACTGTGGCATGGGTGCCCACACACATGCATGAACACAAAATAAATTAATTAAAATCAAATGAATCAGTTAAAAATCTAATTGTTGCAGGTCCTGGTATCAGAGACTTGTAATCCAGCTACTCAGCAGGCTGAGGCAAGAGGATCACAAGTTCAAGGCCTGCCAAGGCTTGAGAGCAAGTTCAAGTACAGCTTAGGCAACTTAGTGATCCCTGTCTCAGATTTTCTTTTCTCTTAAGGGCACTGGCTGAACTTGCAGAGGACACAGTTTCTGTTCCCAGCATCCATGACCATCTTTACCTCCAGTTCCAGGGGATCTGACTCCCTCTCTGACCTCCATGAGCATTGCATGCACATGTGCACTTACTATGCATGCAGGGAAAACAATTCATATGTATAGACTAAAAATAAATATAAATTTAAAAAATTTTAAAGGTCTGGGCTTACTTGGAGAACACTTGCCTAACATGTATAAAGACATAGTGAAAATGCAATTTCTAGTACTGAAAAAAGTCTATTTATTTTCTTCTTACTCATTTTTATGATAGCTGTTTTTCGTCACATTCTCTCTTCATTGTAAAACAAGTTATCTCTCTGCTCTCCTCAGACGGACTTGTTACCTTTTGCCTTGCAAATTTAGTCCTTTTGAAATAAATAAATACTATTTTGTATAATAAATTGTTAGTTTATTTGTAATGGGGTGGTGATCTCTTGTGCGTTTTATTTCTGTGTTGTTTTTGTTTTATATCTTAAAACAAGATCTGGCTGTATAGTTTACACTAGCTTAGAATTCATAATTCTACCTCATTCTCCCTCCCCCATGCTAATACTACAGATGTGTACCACCATGCATACCCTACTTATGGAATTTATTTTATTAACTATTAAAAAACTTTATTGAGAATTTCATACATGCATATAAGGTGTTTTAATCAAATCCATGCCCACTCCTTCCCCTCCAAAGCCTCCCATATCTCCCCATCACTTTTTTTTCTTCTTTGGCTTATTTTTATGGGACTATTGGCTTCTCTAATATTCCCCCCTCTGAAGAGGTAACCCTAAAACCTTTAAAGGATTAGATACAAGCTCCCAAATACTTTCAACGTGCTTGGCCTTTGGAACGGAGTATGTTGTTAAGAGGCCCAAGGATATTTTGACTTTTAGCTAAGAAACTGGCTACTTTTCTTTGGGGTCTTTTTACCCTAACTGCCTAGCCAATTCCTACCTCCTATTCTTATC